TACATTGGTTAATTATACGAGTCTTCTTATAACCAGTTATACAATATATGCAACGGGGAAGCTGCTAGTTTATGTGATACTTAAGCTGTACATTGGTTAATTATACGAGTCTTCTTATAACCAGTTATACAATATATGCAACGGGGAAGCTGCTAGTTTATGTGATACTTAAGCTGTACATTGGTTAATTATACGAGTCTTCTTATAACCAGTTATACAATATATGCAACGGGGAAGCTGCTAGTTTATGTGATGGATGCTAATGAAACAAATAAAGGAACAAGTGCTCACTTTGAAACAGGCCGGAAACACGTGTTCAGTGCTGTAAGACCTAAGCGAATCTGCGAATTCATGATAGAAAATCTCAACATGAGAAGAAATAGACTCGCATTCTTATACAAGTTTTTTCAGAACTTCATTTAATACATAATGAATAATGATCAGAAATGTCAGAAACGCTAAAGAATATACTTTAACAGTTTATCAAATAAGCACCATAACAACAGTAGACACAAGCAAACGTTGCTTTAGCGCTAGTTTCCGTAGTGTAGTGGTTATCACGTTCGCCTCACACGCGAAAGGTCCCCGGTTCGAAACCGGGCGGAAACAATTTATTTTTATTTTTTATGATAGACTTGGTTTGGTTTTGTAATTAATAGTGACAGATAGTATTTGTGCAATACTATCGTATAGTTCTATATTTACCGTTTCATAATTTAATCGTTCAATCCGCGTTGTTGCCCGCCGCGCGGCATAACGCCATACCCATAATTCTTAGTGACACGCCTGAGCCCGGTCTGGCTTTTTAGATCCGCTTCCGGGTGACGTCTTCCTTTTTCCCTGTGCCTAAATGTGAGAGGTAGCGAGTCGGCGAAGTCCTTGATTTTAATCCGACTTCATCCTCGTTAAAGGCACCGTAAAACCGTCGTCAAGATGACTGAACAGATGACCCTAAGGGGGACCCTTAAGGGGCACAATGGTTGGGTCACCCAGATTGCGACTACTCCTCAATTTCCCGATATGATTCTGTCTGCGTCAAGAGGTACCCCGTCCGTCGCCATGACTGTTCCACATAGTCTCTAAACTACGTGTAATAGTTAATTACTTTTCTGTTACAGCCTAAATTGTAAGCTGACCATAATAATTGTATTTCGTATTGTGGAACATTTGGCTGGTCCGAAATGTTTAACCATACCCACGCATTAATAACATCGTGATGTTCTGGGCCCGGTAAATTTTTACGTTGTGTGACGAAAGCTGGTCAAAGTGATGCTGGCGTGCTTTGTGCGTGGAAATTTTTTTAGTCAATGCGGCTAATAAGGCGGCTTCTCGAGGATCTACATGATCGTGTCCCAGCACTGTGTGGACCACGAACACGCGAACGGAAAACGCCTGTCATGGCCGCTTTTTTTCTTTTATCAAACATTTTTCAGTGAATTGATTTCTGTTTATTTGCATACAGGTTTATGTTAGTTCCCTGAACACACGATCATATATCCATGCTCTCTTCTCTATCCGCAGACAAGACCATCATCATGTGGAAGCTGACGCGTGATGAGACCAACTACGGCGTCCCCCAGCGTGCTCTGCGTGGTCATTCTCACTTTGTGAGCGATGTGGTCATCTCCTCAGATGGGCAGTTTGCTCTGTCCGGATCCTGGGACGGAACCCTGCGTCTGTGGGATCTGACCACGTAAGTGGGGGGACGGGAAAGCACCTTAAATGCTTCTTTTTTTTTTCTTTTTTTTTTTTTGCACAGCCAAACCCACCTTGTCCGCCCTGACCAGCATGATTAAGCCTCTTATACTTTCTTCCCCCCCATACAACCCTATAGGAGCACTTCAGCTAAGAAAAATAATTTAGATTTACTTTATGCTTGCAGACTGTCGTTTTGCACTTGATCCTACGTGCACTTCTAGGTTTTCCAGCTAGGAACACGGTAACATTTGAAGTGTATTAATGTTCTTTTTTGCTGTCTTGTAGTGGCACAACCACCCGCCGATTCGTCGGGCACACGAAGGACGTCCTCAGCGTCGCCTTCTCTGCTGACAACCGCCAGATCGTATCTGGATCTAGGGACAAGACCATCAAGCTATGGAACACCCTGGGGGTCTGCAAGTACACCATCCAGGTGCGTGTGCCAGCCCTTGGGTGGCGCCTCAACTAATTTGAGGCTGCGTCCCCCTGAGTGCTTCTGATGCTCTCGTCGTCTGTTCTGAGTCCCGTGCTCTTCTTCTGACCTCTCTGAACTTTGTCCCCCTGCAGGACGAGAGTCATTCTGAATGGGTGTCCTGCGTGCGTTTCTCTCCCAACAGCAGCAACCCCATCATTGTCTCCTGCGGCTGGGACAAGCTGGTGAAGGTGAGGCCACGTCTGTTCAACACAAATGCCTTCAGTGACGTGGCTTTAAAATATTTTGCTTTGTATACACTTCCAGTCAAAAGTTTTTGCACACCTCAGCTTTTTAATACTTTTTAATTAATTTCATGAACTGTGGGTTTTTTTTTTATAGTTTTTAAGCATTTGAAAGTTGAGTGAAGGACTATAAATGAAAATGTCTTTCAACTTTAAATACACTAGTTAACTGTTTCATCCTTTGAAACAGAGCAGTATTTCATGTCCCTTATAGAAAGTGCCTCATTTCCTCTGCTGTTATAACTGCTATAGGAGATTACTTTGAATCAAAGATATGACATTTTCTTGCTAATAGGTACTCATAATTGTAAATTTGTTGGCAAAGATTATTCAGTGTGTTTTTAGTATTTGTTAAGTGAGTAACATGCAAATGTAGAAAATCTCAGAGCTTGCAAAAAAAATTCACTGTTAGTGTGTGTTAGATTTTGCCACTTGGATTCAAATTTAGTCCCTATGATTATGAAATTTGGTCTTATCGTCTGAGCCTTTTGGTTTTGATGACAAGTCCTGCAATTATGAGGGGGCAGATGGCGTGATTCCTTTTTGGCGCAAGGTGTGTCGTGACCCTTAACTGCGGTTTGTAAGACAGGTGTGGATGCCTGTCTGAATCGCGTGTTGGTCCTTTTGTCCTCAGGTGTGGAACCTGGCCAACTGCAAGCTGAAGACTAACCACATTGGCCACACCGGGTACCTGAACACCGTGACCGTCTCCCCCGATGGCTCCCTGTGTGCCTCTGGTGGCAAGGTATGCTGGGAACAGTGAGAATCGGGTATCAAGTCCAGTGATTCCCAATCTGGTCCTTGGGGATCCATGGTCAGTCCATGTTTTTGCTCCCTCCCAACTCTCTGCCAGACGGTCCACATTTTTGGGACTGGGAGGGAGCAAAAACGTGGATCGTTTGTGGGTCCCTGAGGACGGGGTTGGGAAACACTGATATAGTTTCATCAGTACAAAGATGCTGAATTGAAAAGGTACTGATGGTCCGATGGAGTTGCATGAGCGGCCTGTTGCTTGGTAATATCTTGAAGCTGTGATGAAGCTTTCAATGCCATCTGTGTCACTGTGATGATAAAGAGGCTGTTTCTGAGCGTGAGGCGAATTTGTACCCTGGAGGCA